GCGTGAAGGGAGGGCTAGGAATGGGGAAAAAATAAGAACCAAGATGCATTATGTACAGGTATAATTCCCAATGAGAAATGTAATTGTGTTGTGTACCTACAATGTATCAATAAAAGAATTTAATACAGAAACAAAAAATGTATGGGTAGACCTCAATTCCCCACTGTCACAAATCACTAGTCAAAAATTATAACTCAAGCTAAAACTGTAAATCAACCCAAACCTTGAACAAATGAATTTTAACAGCTTTTCAAATAGTGTTCCACCCCACAAAATCAGAACACACATTCTTTTCAGGTGAGAACACAGGTCATTCTCCAAAATAGACCACATGCTTGCTCATACAACATGTTTAAGTAAGTGCAGAGGAATTGATGTTTTCTGCTGTATATTATGAGACCACATTGTGATGAAATTGAGATCAATAGCAAAAGAAACCACAAGAATTTCTTAAACACACAGAAATAGAACAACACACTTCTCAGTAACCAGTGAGTCACAGAGGAAATTAAAGAAGAAATCAGACAGTTTCTACAATTAAATGACAACATATTGGAATCTATGTCATGCAATGAAAGCAGTCTTATGAGAGATATTCATAGCAGTGAATACTCATATTAGGAAAACAGAGCAAGCTCAAATAAACAACCTAATACTTAACTGCAGACTTCTAGAAAAACAAGAGCAGGACAAACCCAAAGCTCATACAAGGGAAGTATTTATAAAGATCAGAGCAGAAATCAATGCAATGGAGACTAAGAGAATGATAAGACAATAAATGAAGCAAAGAGTTGGTTCCTCAAGAGAATAAACAAAATTGACAAACCCTTAGCCAACTTTATCAAAAGAAGGAAAGAAAAGGCCCAACTCCATGCAATTAGGAATGAAAAGGATGAAATTACAATGGACCCAGCAGAAGTCCAGAGGATCATCAATACCTCCTTTGAGAACCTATATGCCAGTAAGATGGAAAACACAGAAAAAATGGACAGATTTCTAGATACATATGAATTACCAAAGTTGAACGGAGAAGATCTAAAAATTCTAAACAACCCAATATAAATCAACAAAATTGAAAACATAATTAAAAACTTACCAAATAAGAAGAGCTAGGGTCCTGATGGCTTCACTGCTGAATTCTGCAAGACATTTAGACAGCTACTGCCACTACCATTTAAACTCTTCAATGAAATTGAAAGGGAAATAAAACTCCTAAATTCATTCCTGGAAGCAAGCATCACCTTGATCCCGACAGCAGAGAAAGACCCAACCGAAAAAGACATCTACTGGCCAATCTCCCTAATGAACATAGATGCAAAAATCCTCACTAAGATACTGGCAAACAGAATGCAGGAGATTATCAAGAAGATCATATGAAGCTGTGACTGGCCAGGAGAGACAAGCACCTTGAAGCTCCGCGGCCGTCCCTGGCCACGCCCATGGCACTGGGAGGTCTGCTGCCTCCTATGCCCAGTCCCATTCTGCCCCACCCCCCACCCCGCGCCATGCGCAGCCTACCTTCTGGCTTTTCTGCTACCTGGTCCCACACTACAGAGGCACAGGAGATTATAAAGACCCTTGTCCTGAG